CCCCCCCTCCTTCTTCACCCTCCGGTCCTCATACATCCCCGCCGAACCGCCAGGTCCCGGCCGAGATCATCAAGATCGTGGCCGTCCTCATGAGCACCGCCGGCATCAGCGACGTCCGCCCCGGCCGCCAGGCTGACAACAACCACACGGTCAGCCAGGACGTAGAGCTCTACCTGACCAAGAACGACCTGCCCGGCGGCTTCACGCTCGTCGCGCGCAGCGGGCGCGTGCTGCAGGAGCTGGTGATCGAGACCAGCCTGTCGCGGGACGACATGAAGAAGGCGCTCACGCGGGTGCTCAGCCGCGTGCGCTGAGCGCGGGGGCGTTGGCGCGTGGAGCCTCGAGCTGCCGCGGGGACAGCGCGCGCTGGGGCCGCTTGCAGCGTGGTGGGGTCCCCCGTTTGGTTTTTGTGGGACTTGAGGGCCCTGCGGCTGCACCGTGCGCTGCGGAGGCGTGCAGGCAGCCTGGGCACGCTGGCACATTTTGGAGGGTGCTCGCCTGATTCAAATTTGGGATCTGGTGGAGACACGTGCCGCGCACTCGGTGGCTGTCTGCGTCCGCTCTCAGTCAGTCAGCTGCTGCTGGCGGCCCGGATGGCTGCCGCCACTGGTGTCACTGTGACGAGCGCGTGCTGTCCATGTGACGCGCAGGCGCGGGACAGGCATCTGGTTTCCCCTCTGTGCAAAATTTGGTTCTGCTTCTTTTCATTTGAGCTTGTATTCAGCTTCCAATGGGTGTGCCTGATTTCAAACAGGGCCGTGGCTGGTAATACGTGTAATCATCCGGAACGCGGGGCATGAAAGCACTCAGCAGCAGGGTTACACTGGCAGGCACCCGGACAAACTACTTGTGCGTGACTTCCGCCTGACTGCTGCAGGGCCTGCTATGAACGCCACCACATGGGCCTTGCAGCAAGCAGCCCGGACACGCCGCTCCTTGTGCACAGACCACATCTTGTGGCCGTCCTTGAAACATCGCATCGTGCCTGAAAAATCTTGGCACACCTGAAAACATCTCGCTCAAAGCAGACGCGCGGCCAGCACGACACCATGCTGCTTCCACGAAGCAGCGTCGCGGCCGTCCGCTCCGGCGCCTAGACACACAGACGCACGACACGCAGCCGCGCTCGTCGCAGCCACGTCAGTCCAGGCCGGCCAGCCGCACTGCGCCAGTGTTCAGCACCACGAAGAAGGTGGCAATCATGATGCCGATGATGGTGGAGAAGGAGAAGAAGAGCACCTGGTGGGGTGATGTGGCCAAAAGAGGTGCATGAGCATCCACAGAGCAGAGGGGTTTACCTTTGAAAGGGCAGTACAGAATGGAAATATCTGAACAAGGCGGTCCAGCAAGGCATGCAAGTTGATGCTGCGCGTGCGCCTGCGTTACACACTGGTTACTGGCCACCATATGGCTGCTTGTATACGTTGCATCATGCTGGCGGTATGCCGACGGCATGCCGGCGGCGATGCATGTTGCAGAAAAAGCACAAGCCCTTTGACAACCCACCACTTGAGTGATGGTGATCTTTGCCAGCCAGCTGCGCGTGTCCTTCGGGGGCGCCACGATGGGGTCGGGGCTCATGTCAGGCGACAGGCCCTTGGGCTCTACACTTGCCAGCCGCGAGGGACGCATGGGTGCCGCACCAAACGGCGAGGCGGCGCCGCTAGAACCGAAGGGCGACGCCGCAGGGGCGGCACCGGCCGCAAATGGGCTGCTGCTGCTGGGTGCACTGCTGGGCGCGAAGGGGCTGCTGCTGCTGGGGCTGCTGCTGGTGGCAGTGGCGCTCGCGCTGCTGCTTGCGGCGGGCGCGGCAGCGGCGGGCTGGTCTTCCTCGCCGTCGCCAAACTCCGTCTTGTACTTGTCCAGGATGTCTGCCGCGTTTCCCAGCAGCTCCTTCCGGTCCCTCTGCACTAGACGCCTGACCTGGTAGGAGCCCTCGTTGAAGGGCTCCTCAACAGAACGGCCTGGCCACAAGGGCCGAGAGTGAGATCGCAGCGGTCAGACCGCGCCATGAGCACGGAGAGCGCTTGCCGCATGCATGCACGGGGCGCGCAGCTTTTCTGATCATCCACTCACCACTCTGAGCCCTGCAAAGAGACAATTTGCGCTGCGAGGGCAGAGGACGGACTCCGCGGGTCACCGACGGCCCGCAGGCCAGGTTGCGCGACATCATCGTGTCGATACAAGTGTATAGCTGCCAAGTCACACTTATCAGACAAAAGATGTGCTAGATCGGGGTTGGTGGTGGGGACCTCAGATGAAGGGTGGATGTGTCTCTTCGCGATGTTCAAGGGTTTGATTATGAACCAATTGGACGCAGTGATTGCATGGCGACACAGTCGAGCACGGTTCCCGCAGTGTGCTGTCTGGCTCATCAGCTTTCAGAGCGCACTCAGCACAGCACGACGCCGGTTCCGACATGACGCCACTTGATTTGTGTGTGGAAACGCGCGCACCACAACTCCACGCACCAAGCGTTACAGCCGCTGCCTATGATTCAGCACGCGTCCAGCGATCGCACCCCTGAACCACTCTGCGGTCTGGGGCGGGCCGCCCCTGTAGTTCGGAAAGTAGTTAACGTCCTGGGGAGAATATCCAGGGGGGGGGGTCGCAAGCAAGTACACATTTATGATAGGCCACTATAGGCGGTAGTTGGCGACCCAATGTGTACACGTCGGCGACCATTTGGCGACCCAATGTGTACACGTCGGTGACCCCTCGACCATGACATTCTGGACCGGCCGCCTGCACAGCAAAGCTTACTCCCACCGGCCAGGTGCTCCCCCAACCTCACCACGACCAGCCAGTCCCTAGTATTGCCGTCCACGACGATGTCGAAGCCGAACAGCGTCAGCCCCAGGCGCTCCCTCAGGTAGCTGGCCACGGCCTCGAGCGCACCCTGGTGCAGCACGTGCCGCGCCTGCTGCTGCTGCTGCTGCTGCTGCTGCTGCTGCTGCTGGCACTGTGCCTGCTCCTGCTGGCTGGACAGAACACCACTGTGCGCATCACCAACAGCCGCCTTTGCGCTTGTCGCCACAGCGCCAGGCTTGCCGCCCCCGCTGTCCGCCGCCATGTGCAGGGGCAACCAAGTGGGAAGCGATGTGAGGGTGTCGAAGCGAAGCACGAATCGCTCAAGAGCCTCGCCACCCGCCGCGGCGGCCGCAGCCACCTCCTCTGGGGTCGGCCGTGCCACATCGGGGATGGAGGGGCGGGTGGCATAGAACACCTGCCAGGGCCGGCAGCGCAGGAAAACAGGGGGTTGATTGATGACAGTCACGTGCTCATTGTGTCATCCCGCGACATGGCGCACCCACAGGGCGTGCCTGAGCACACAATTGCTGTACTTGTACCCTTGCATTGACCACACACACACACACCCACACACACACACATCCTGTTTTATGTTATACACTCGCATGCACACAATTCCGTGTAATCGCTCAATATGCCTCCCCGCAATGCTGTCCTGATGCACCCACCTTGTCCCCTATCACATACGCCTTGTACTGCAGCCCGCCATGGTTCACAAATTCCTGCACCACCGCCACGCTCCCGAGCCCGCCGCCGCCGATGCCGCCGCCCGCCGCCCCCAGCGCAGGCAGCGCCGTGGCGTCCAGCACGAGGGCCATTGAGTGGGAGCCCGCCACTCCGCAGGCGGCGATGGGCTTCACTAGCAGGGCACAGGAATCTAGGCCTGGATGACCAGGGAAGGGCGGAGGGGCACCGCGGGGCAGGCTGGGCGAAGCGTGCGCCGTATCACTGGGAACTAGGCAGCGCAAGCGGAGCTGGCCTGAGCTGCCGGCGCTCGCAACGCGGGTGCGCAGGGGGGAGGGCGGTCAGCAGGCGCGCGGCATGGAGGTGGGGGACCACGCTGGACCCGGAGGCGGCGGCTCACCCGCTGCTTGCAGGTGCTGCTGCAGGCCGGGCGCCGCCAGCGACTCGACCAACAGGTGCCGCGGGGCGCGCGCCCGTGCGCCATCAGGCAGCTCCAGTGCCTGCAGGCCAACAAGGATGTCGCACAGCACGGCCCTATCTACGACCTGTGCATTGAAAGAACCAGGTGGGCGGGCTCGGGATTACCGGTGGACGAATTTGGTGTGCTGCCAAGCACTCCGCATTACACTGTTCAACAGTGCTGCTGCGGCTGCGTGCCGGCGTTCCTGCTTCGTCCGCGAGCCCCACCTTGGCCGCCGCCTCAAAGGGGTCCACCACCGCCACGTCTGGCCGCCCCTCCAGCTGCCGCTGCAGCCCCTGCATCGCGGCAGACCACTCCGGCGCCCCGCCCGCGCCCGGCGTCGCCACCAGCTCGTCCGACGCCTTATGGAGGACTGCGTCCCAGTGCCCCTGGGGCCCCAGAGGCTGCCCAAGATCAAGCGGCGCAAAGCACACATAGCAGCGGGCGCCGGAGGGCGTCACGGCGGGCGCTGGCAGGAGGGGCAGGAGGCCTTGGTCTGCGAGCTGCTGCTCCCGCGATGGCTTCATGGCATAGCCCACGACGAAAAGAGGGGGTGCGTCGGGCCGCTCCTGGTGCTGTTCATCGTGCTGCTGCTGCTGCTGCTGCTGCTGCTGCTGCTGCTGCTGCTCTTGCTGCTGCTGCTCCTGCTGCTCCTGCTGCCTCTGCTGCTGCTGCTGCTGCTGCTGCTCCTGCTGCTGCTTTCCCCGCTGACTGTCAAGTAGGGAGGCGTCCAGGACGTACCGCTGCTGGTTGCGCTGCACCAGGGCCTGGATGGCAGCTGTGCTGCTCTCACCCTGCGGAAGGCCATTGAACGTGTGTGGGGGTATGTGCGACTGATTAATATCAAGAGTCCAACGCAGCTGGCCCCGTATCCACGGTAAACAGGTGTGTGAGATAATAGCGAAATCACCCTTTTGTGCGAAATAGCTGTGCCTGACAGCAGCTTCTGGGACATCTGACGTCATCCGTGATCTCACCTGCCGCCAGAAAATCATGGCACCAATGCCGCCTATGTCTCTGTCGCTGCTGGTCAATGCCGCCACCTCGCTCTCTGATACGCCCCATCCCTGCAATCCAGCGGGTTGCCACGATCAACTGATATGCAGAACAGCGCCCGCTTGTGCTGCCGCCCTACCCCACCGCTTGCCACGAGCCAGTCCTAGAGTCCTTGCTCTGAGGGGTAGCAATCGCTATGTTTACCCCTGGGACCAATGGCGGACACGCACTCCTCAAAGAACTGCAGGAGTGCATGTGCCGCGCACTCTGCATACCTGCAGCTTGGGCCCAACCTCTTGCGGATAGTCCACAGCTGCTGCTCGCACACCGCCACGCTGCAAGCGCGCCACGAGCAGGTCCTCGTCTGCATGGCATATCAGTGTGGCGTGGTGAGGCCACTACACATGTGCAAGTACCAAATTTGCTTCGTATCAGAGGTGCACCTGCGATCCTGCCTGGCGAACGTAAGATCAGCACCGCTTGATACATGGCAGTGCGGGAATGCGCAAGATAAGGTGACATACATGCTTTGTTATTGCTGCTGTTTATTGTAGTTGGGGGGGTGTTCGATAAGCCGCGGCGGTTGCAGGACGAGCGGTTGCTCGACAACTGGCTCAAGCTGATGGGCCCCAATCACTGCTTCCCCAATGGGACGATGTAGCTGAACCATGCTCACAGTCACTGCTCCTACTACCCTTCCGCTCTCTGGCTGCCCCTGCCCCTCACCCTTCCC